CTTAAATTGTTACTTTTCACAATTGTCATTGAACGGATCTTTGTATTGTGCTAATAAAGTTTTAAGATGGCAAACAACAAAGATCTTCGTAATATCATTATTGCCCATTATAAAATGGGGAACAAAGCTTGCTAGGTCAATGCACATTAATCACCTGGATGAAGATAGAATGGGTGAACTGAAAGATTAATTAACTTAGTTAAAAGCGACTTGGATCTCTGAGTACAAGTCAAAGTTCAAGAACCATGTCCAAAAATTTCCGAAGCAGTCAAACGGCGTTCATAACCGAAATTAAGCAAGATTTTAAAATGAAAGGGTGTGAGTGTGGGTGTGGGTGTGTGGGTGTGGGGTGTGGGTGTGGGTGTGGATGTGAGTGTGGCTGTGGGTGTGGGTGTGGGGGTGTGGATGTGAGTGTGGCTGTGGGTGTGGAGCGTGTGTCTTGTGTTCACCTATATCCACAGTCACACTCCACACCCACCTACACCCACACCCACACTCGAGCCCAACTGTAGTCATATCTGCAACTAGGTCAACACATCCGCACACCCACGCTCGCAATGTCAGTTAGTTACTCAGATCTTGACTTTGCTTATGGTAGAATGGGTACTTCCTAAAGAGCGATTGAATACTATAAGAAGTCTTTAGATATTTCTCTCAAATTAATATAAAACAATCATCTAGATTTAGCAATACCATATAACAAAATGATCGAATGTTAATAGTGAACTTAACGATTTTACATTAGCAGCATTTTATCATAAAAAGACACTTAAAATTCATATAAAGGATGTGGTTGGATGTGGGTGTGGGTATGTGGGTGGGTGGGTGGAGGTGGATGGAGGTGGGTGTCGGCATTGCTCTTTTCTTTTTAATTGGATGAAACGCACACCCATACCCAGACCCCATCCCACACCCACACGCACACACATATCCATACCCACACAAACCCACACTCACACCCCACACCCACACCCACCACATCCACCGCACCCACACTCACACTCTCACCCACACCGCCACACCATACCCACCCACACTCACACCCACACCCTATTACATCAAAACGAAGATGTCACGAAATGAAATTACAATATTTGGAATTAGCATAGATAGCTGGATCGACTGATATATACTTTTATCGATTTTGCTTTGACGTTGAAAATACAGAAAATGGATCGAGTTCTAGCGATTGTGCCCAAAATTTAGCAAGAATGTTTTTTTTTTGATAAAAAAAATGAAAGAGAAAAAAGGAATGCATACTTTGATGACTGATAGTATGATCTATTACATGAGATAAAATATTTGGCTTCATCGGTCACACAAAAAAAACCTAGATAGGTTTATAACACAAGACCTAGCGGCATGTCAATAGAACCAATTTGGTCGTCAATATCAACCATTTTTATTCAGATTTGATTTAATTACGTTTTCATACTCAGTTTTTGACACTGAATTTGAAAAATAAGTCACAGAAGTTCAACAAAAAGATACTATAGAAAATTTCGCCAACATTGAAAAAGCTCCATCGGACCGTGTAAAAAGACGAAACAAAACATTCAGCTTGAATTTCGCGATGTAGGCATCTTATAATGAATTGAAAATGCATTTGTACCTGCGGTCTATGTCTTTGTGACACTAATGGAACCAGTATGCTTTTGTATGTGACTATATCAATGCAAATGTAAGATATTAAATGTATATTGCTAATCTTAGTCTAGATTATATGCCATTATACAAACAAGCATTCAGCGCAATAAAAGTTACATACTGTGTATAAATTTATGAAGTTTATTCAAAATTGGTATTATCATACATTGTAATATTGAAGTTTTGGCTACTCAGCACTGTTTTTTTTAGAGGCTGACACCTTGTCGATACTTTTCTCATAAAAGTATTAACAAGATGAAATCCTAAACGTAAGAAGCAGACGAAACAGAATTATGTACTAAAACGATACAACAGCCAATGAAGCCTGATTCGTATCAATACAATATTGAAGAATAATCGTCTAGTTGAACACTTATTGAAATCAAGTTCACTTAGTGTCATAATAAACTTACTTTCTGATCATAGAGGAATAAGAAACATTTTATTTTTGATTTGAATCGATAAAGTCCTGTTATTGTGTTAAATCCACAATAGAACGTATTGCAAGAGTTCAACTCAACAACATCTCATTTTTTTCTATAGCAGTATAGTCAACGAACTGAAATGATCTATAAGTGTAGCCTCTAGCTGTATGATTCTCTGAATGCACCATTGTTGTAATGTATTATGTTATAAGAATAACAATTAATAAAAAAGAAAACAATATCAGTACTAAAAATGATTCAAATCATAGACATTTGTTCAAAGTTTACATGTTACTCTGCTCAAAATGAATTGATATAAAAGTATTATGTAAAGCATCTATGATACACACGTATTGTCAAACACTCTGTAATTAAATTTGTTCTAGTATCAATAGTTATTTCTCAGTTAAAAAGAAAATTACAAATACACAGCAATACAATTTTGGCGATTCGCAATTTTATCGAGCTGAACCATTTATTAAAACTTAGCGCTACTAAAAATAATATTCTTTACCTAATAGATGCTACATAAAAAAGTGTTTTTTCCATTGCAATATATTGATTATACTACTTCATAATATTGTAAGTGTTACAGATGGAGAAGATTTCCGTTTTGTGAAATAGAACGCTTAGTAAAAATAATTCGAGCGAGTTTATTAATAATATTTGAAAAAAAAAAGAATTTACAGCTGATTTGTAAGAAAAATAAATATTAGTCTTTGTAATTATGTGATTGTGACATTGACACATCGCTTACAATTTCCACAACATTTTTGATAGATTTCACATTTAGCATCTGTTGTACATGTTGGAACGCATAATGGATAATTACCATTAGGCAATGGAATGGTAACAGGTGGTGGTAATACCGTCGGACAACAACCTGGATGTTCATTTGGACAACAGTAGACTTTGTCGTATCGATTCACTTTGCATGTACCATTATTGGCTTCACATTCTCGATTTCCTTGTCCACAAACAATATTTTTGAGTGGTTGACCATATTTGCATGGATTGCATCTATCTGGTAATGGAAATAATAAACACAAAATATTTGGATTAATAATGATTGGAGGAATCGTTTGAATTGGTATTCTTATAATAGATGGTTTTTCAATTTCAATGGGATCATCTTGAGCTGTACATAAACTAATAATAACAAGCGTCGTTAATAATAAACGTATAATTAACTTTTTCATAATCCTTTGACAATATCAAACGTAAATAGTCTCGTGTAAAAAATTATTAATTTTCTTTCGTACAATTACTGTGACTTATATAGTATCATAGT